ATATATATATATATATCTCTCTTCAGGGAATCTTTAAAATATCTTGATGTTGGTCGTTTTGTATCTTTAGTGGTAATTGTCATTTTTCTAGGGTTTTACTTGTAATGATCATGGTTTAAAATAACTTTCAATAAAAGGTAATAATGCCAAACTGCAAGGGTGAGGATGGTAAATGTGTCTTTTTTTTAAGGATATTTAAGAATAACTCCTAATTTCAGCCATGGGTGAAGCAGCGAAATGTTTTTGTATGACACTGCCCTCTGGAGGCTTTAAGGGGTCCATATACTTCATGGGCTACTGTCATACTGAATCTGTATTTTAAACAGCACACAGACTATAGAGAAATCTACTGTATAATGTTCATTATTTAAATACTTTAGTGCGTGTTTCAGTCACAGCTTTTTCGGCAATACAATTTGATACACTGTGTTTGAGTTCATGCTAGTCTTTTGGGTGATAAATTAAGACTTTTGTCCCAAATGTAGCACCCTTGCTAAGAATATTTGATGTCAAATTAAGATTTAAAGTCTGCTGAATTAATACAAAGATACTTGTCTGTGTTTTTTTTCTCCAGGAGGAAAGCCATGCTCATAAACAACATGTTTGCCTTCATTGGTGGAAGTCTCATGGGGTTGTCCAAGCTCTGCCACTCGTACGAAATGCTGATCCTTGGACGCTTTGTCATTGGTGCCTACTGCGGTGAGCAGTCCGCTGTTCTATTCTCTCCTTTGTCATTGTTTTAATTACATATCTATTTTAGAGCAGGAACTTCACATTCATACGACTACAAAGAGATGCAAAAAAATCCAGAAAGAGACACAAACTGACTACAGAGAGATGCAAAATGACTAAAAAGAGACGCAAAACGACTTTAACAAAATGCAAAATGACCAAAAAGAGAGCAAAACATCTACGAAGAAATGCCAAACGACCAAAAAGATGTCTCTTTGAATCGGTGGCTCTAGCTGGGGGCCCTTTACATGTCCGTGCCTAGGGGCCCATTGTCTCACAATCTGTCCATGCACTTGATGAAAGTTTCTGACAACTTTTCCTCTCTGCAGGGTTGGCATCAGGCCTGACACCGATGTATGTGGGTGAGATAGCTCCTACAAGTCTGCGAGGTGCACTGGGCACGCTGCACCAACTGGCTATAGTCACTGGTATCCTCATAGCACAGGTATGACAGCGTGTTAGGATGTTGCTGTTAAAACTGATAAAACCTCTCTGTATAAACTCCTGCTGCACGTGTTTCTCTGAGTTCAATGTTTGTATGAATATTTTGTAATAGCCTTTCCTTGAAGTTCTTATAGTATCTATTTTAAATCTTCTGCCCTCACACTTGATCCCTCCTCCTACGCAGGTCCTCGGTCTGGAGTCGTTACTGGGCGTTGAGGACTTGTGGCCAATTCTGTTGGGTTTAGCAGTCGTACCGGCTGTGTTTCAGATGGCACTTCTGCCTTTCTGCCCCGAGAGCCCCCGCTTCCTCTACATCGTCCGCTGCCAGGAGCACCAAGCCAAGAGAGGTGAGCTTTAAGGTCTCGGTTTTATATTGGAATAAGCTGTATGAACTACTCATTTAGTCTTAAACTTAAGCTGAGGCAAGACCTGTACCAATAAACTGTCTACTGGTTTACTACACTAGCTAATCACTTACAGTACAGCATCTTGCTATTTGTACTAAAGTACTATGTGGTCACCATTATGTAACATTGATGGAGCTGAATGTAGAACAAGTATTTATAGGCCTTTTACTCAAACAGGTGTTGGTAAGAATATTCAAATTGAACATACACACCTTTCTGTGTGCAGGCCTGAGGAGGTTGACGGGCAGGCAGGACGTGAGCAGCATGCTGGCGGAGATGAAGGAGGAGAAGAGGAAGATGGACATGGAGAGGAAGGTTTCCATCCTGGAGCTCTTTCGCTCTCCGCTCTATCGCCAGCCCATCATCATCTCTATCCTGCTGCAGCTCTCCCAGCAGCTGTCTGGGATCAACGCAGTGAGTCAGGGGGGGTCCTTTATTAAAAAGAATTGTAAAAATCACAGTTAGTTGTATAAGTGACATAAGTGCACCTGGCATAAAGTCCCAAAAGGAAAAATGAATCAATGCAGTATACTATTGACATAATCTTAATCTGTACACCCCTCTGTTCAGATTTTCTACTACTCCACCAGTATCTTCATGAAGGCAGGAGTCCAGAGTCCAGTCTACGCCACCATAGGAGCAGGCGTGGTGAACTGTGCCTTCACCGTGGTGTCGGTCAGTAACATACCTTTATCTTGGCTTTTTGATGTCTCTCCTCCTTCCTTGATAAACAATCTAATTTTGAATGTTCAATCTTTTGTGAAATTAGTATGATAAAGACTGCAGCCCTGTTATGTACCAAAGTGTGTCTCTATTAATGTGTAAAATTGTTATCAGCCCTAGCTCTGTGGTGGTGCTACTTTGCAAATGTCAGCATGCTAACATGGTACACTTGCTAAATGTCATTGTTGGCAAGCTGATGTCAGCATTTGGATAGAAACACCACTACTCAACCTCACAGAGCTGCAAGCTTGACTGTAGAATCTAACTCTTGTTGTGACAATGAATCCTTTTTCAGTTTAAACTAGGTGAATGGCTAACTTTATCAACTAAAGTAGAATATGTGAGCAGACTGGGGATAACGACCTCTCTGTTTTCTCATTATTAACAGCTCTTCCTGATAGAGAGGATGGGTCGACGGACGCTCCACATGCTGGGACTTGGTGGAATGTGCATCTGTGCCGTCATCATGACCATGGCTCTCGCTTTGTTGGTCAGTCCCCCAAACGTGCAAGCATCCCGTACCGTCAGGTGTGTTTTCTCCACAAACCTATGAACCGGTTTTTCCTCCCACCTGATAGGACAGTATTCCATGGATGAGCTACATCAGCATGCTGTCCATCTTTGGCTTTGTGGCCTTCTTTGAGATCGGTCCGGGTCCCATCCCCTGGTTCTTTGTAGCCGAGCTATTCTCTCAGGGTCCAAGGCCGGCTGCCATGGCTGTGGCCGGCTTCTCCAACTGGACCGCCAACTTCATCATCGGCATGTGCTTCCAATACGTCGCTGTGAGTATTTCTTAACTTGAATAGATGTTGTGGATGTCCTACGCAAACGTCTATGGACTTCTCCTTCTCGTATCTTTTAATCTGGATTTATCCCCATCCTTCTCCAGGACCTGTGTGGGCCATACACCTTCCTGATCTTCGCAGCACTCCTCCTCTTCTTCCTCATCTTTACATTCTTCCGGGTGCCAGAGACGCGGGGCAAAACCTTCGACCAGATCGCAGCAAGCTTCCATCAGGACTCTGTCGGACTAATGATGGATAGAGGCATGGCCATGGATCTGGACAAGCCCAGCACCGAGTTGGACTACTTGGGGGAGGAAAGTTCCTGCCTAAAGAGAGATGGGATCGAGCACAGCTTGGAATGAACTGTGTAGGCCCGACTATAAACTTTTACTTTCTGACATATTGTATACTGAGGTCAACTGTTGAATTCATATAGATTGTGGTGCCAAAGCAGCGTTTATAGTGTGACAATTTGGGTGTTTTGGAATTGTCCTTTTGCTGGTACCACTGCAATATGAGGTTACGAATTACGCCTCGACAGAGGCTGAAAACCTATGGATTAAGAGTTGACTACTGTAGTTTCTAGGAATAAGATGATCAGAAGAAAGTGTCTGGACTGTTGAGGCATGGACTGCCCATGTGGTAGGATTTTATTCCAAGGTGGCAATATTGACAGACAGAGGTGGAGAGACTTTAGAATTCCTGCACTTTATCTACAAAGACATCCAACGGTTTCAGTTTGGATGTAAACCCCCCAACCCCCAAAAAATAGCATATACAGCCATAGAGCTAAGTATACTTTTATATTTTGTACTAAAGCTGGGAACACACTAGATGTGTAAATCCAACCGACTGAAACACATTTAACTGATAGCATTCAGATTTTTACCATTTAGCTTAAACTACAAGATCATCGTCTCAAAGTTATGCAAATATGTATACACACACACAAGCTGTTTGGTTTGAATTAAGATTTAAATCCCAACACACTTTTTTGGTAGCTACTGAAATGTTCCCATAACGGTCAATGGTCAAGTACCAAAAGCTGGTCTTTGATCGTACAGTTTGATTAAAATGATAGTCATATACTTGAGGATTTCTTGTACAGCTTGTTGAGTGTTGACAGTTACAATTTGGAATGGTAAAGTGATTTTGTAACAATTACAAATTATTCAAATTTAAGTATCAAAAAAGTACAATTTTGGCATCAAAACTCAGCAATTGGATGATTGTAGAAACATTTCAAATGATACCCCACCCTAACAACATGCCAGCTGATCTTGGTGTCCCAATACTTCACCCGGCCTCTCTTCAGAGTGTGAGAGAGTTCAAAGTCTCCATTGCCAAACCGGGTTTTCAATCATGTGGCGTGTTCCCAGCTTAAGGTAAAGTGCCATCACAACGTAGATTTATGATCATGACAAACTTATTGCACAACCTGCAGAAATGCTACTTTTAAAGACATTTATTTTAGTTCTTGTGTACATATATAGTGTGATATTTGGTTGTTAATATTAAGGTATGAGGGTCTACAAGTTTCAATTATTCTTGCACTCCAGTAGGTGTAAACAGAAGCCTGATACACTAGAGCAAGATCTGCCATTAAAAGGGATGCCTGTAAAGACTAGCTGCTTTTTTTAAATCCCACAAGGATCATATGTTTGTCTTTTTCTTGTGTCCTGTGTGCAGTTTGCTGTCTATTCTTTAATGGTGTGTATCACTACCTTCTGAAGATTTGTATTGAAGTTGTTCAGAGGGGATCTGTAATGTGTGTATTATGATGCTGTGGTCATGTAGTGACTACAAGGATGCAAGTAATGTATAATAATAATAATAATAATAATGTCATTGAAAATACCCGAGAAGGCCTCCAGTAATTTATATTTAGTATTTGAAATTGTGTTCAATAGTAAGTAATCCAATTTCAAAGACAAATGCCGTTAAAAGCAGCATCTTCTAATCTGCACCTTGGTCATGAAGAAATAAGGACTGTATACAGAGATTTGCAAACATGATTTATTAATTAGCATTTTTACTACCGACATTGCACATAATCCCCTCCAAAGAAAATCACACACAAATAAGTAAAACACAAAAATAAAGTTTCTTTTCATCAAACGTTCCTCAACCGAGGAGATGAAGGGAGTAGTACGCTTCCAAGAATCGATTGAGGTGGTAAAAGAACTAAACTGACTCCCATAATGCACCACCAACCTCACACCTGCTTGGTTTTCACCTCTTCAACCAAATTTTAAAAAGTTAAATAAAAATCAAGGCTGGTTCCTCTATAAACTACTTGATGTGTCCCATCTAGGCAATTAAAGAAAATTTGTTTTTAAAGGGGGGTTGGAATAACTGGGCTACCAAGCAGATCGTCCATTCTTTCCCTTTTGTCTTTGATGTACTTTCAATTTCTAAACATGCACCCACCACCCACCTGCATCCCCTTCTTCCCTTCCTCGCCCCTCTCCAATTGTCCCGTGTCTAGATGAGAGGGGAGGAGGCCTGAGGGACGACAGCGAGACTGGGTGGGTTGGAGGATGGGCAAGTGCAGGGAGGGGAGAGCAGTGCATGCATTCTGAAATAGGTCCAGTCCTCCAACCCTAGGACCTACAAAAACAAAAGACAAATAAACAAAAACGCAAGGGAGCGAAAGACGGTACAGAAACATGCATAGAGTTCAAGCCTTCACTGGAATTTGCTCCCTGCAGTAAAAAAAAAAAAAAAAAAAAAAGGACTCACAACAAAGTACAAACCTAATTAAAGACTCGTAACTTTTTTTTTTTTTTTTTTTTTTTTTTTTAAAAACTTTCCATCCCTTTAACGCCGCCTTAAATCCATATACAGGAAAACGGCCTGTAAAAGATGTGAGCCAATGTGTCACATGAAGTGCAACCCAACACCCTCACGTCTCCCACCCTGCATGACCCACCTCTTACCAAGGGTCACGAGACTGTCCTCTCACTGGTGTCACTCTGTTGGTGCTGGGACTGTTGTGTCAGCTGCCTGCTGGAGGGAAGGAGACCGTTTAAATAGTTGTGTCCACACAACGAACATCGGTGAAAAAGAGCAGTTTGGGCTACTTACCTCGGGTGATTTTGGCGTTTTGGGGGAGGATTTGGGGGAGCCCTTTGGTGATTTTGATGTGGATTTAAGGTCATCTGGTTTGGAGGTCTGAGGGGGGGTACCAGACTCCGATGCAGACTTCTCTGTATCGTTCTGCAATGTGTGCAAGTAATACAATTGTGTTAAGTGTGCAGTAAGCACAACCATCAGGAAAATAATCCTAAAAAACACTTTATTTGAAATAGAATATTTTGATAGATATTCTGCATTTGTGAAATAGCTTCAGTAGCTCATCTGTCACTTGATGCAATTTACCGACCAGGAACAACAATCGCACTCACTTTCGAGGTAGAGGACTCGGAGTTCCTTTGCCTGCGCCGTCTAGACTGGCGCCGTTGTTGTTTCTGGCCCTCAGCTGCTTCTCCGTTGGTCTGGGGCCCCTCAGAGGCCTCCGTCTGCTTCACCTCGCCTTGCTCCTGGATCTCTTCTGGAGCGGCCTGCGGGCCTTCTGGAGCGGCCTGCGGGCCTTCTGGAGCGGCCTGCGGGCCTTCTGGAGCGGCCTGCGGGCCTTCTGGAGCGGCCTGCTGCTGGCCGTCCCTGGCCTGCTCAGGAGGTGGGCGAGGACGGAACGGTCTGTGAATCCCAGGACAGAGGACATATTGAGTCAGCTTTGCAGGTCTGTAATACAGAAGCAAAAAAAATGAACACAAAATATCGGCAGCGTTGCCACGTCACCTGCGGTACGGGCGCCAGAATCTTTGCTGCGGCTGTCGCTGCGTTTGGTCACCCTCTGCCACTCCGTTCTTTTGCTCTCCAGCCTCACCCTGATGGATCAAGCCAACAAAAATTCAAACTAGTCTGACACAGAACAGCTCGAATTTGCCAATTTCTAAATATCCCAAATTACCAGAGTTCTTAACAGTGTTGCAACTTTACTTTCTTTTATACAAACCCTGCTTTACACTCTTAAAAAAGCCCTAAAAGGTTGTCGTTCCCCCTTCAGCTTACATCTTGTGCCTCCTGCCGTGGTCTTCGGGGCCTCCGACGGCGTTGCTGAGGTTTCACTCCATCATTCTCTCCTGATCCCTCTCCCTCGGCGGCGGAGGACTGGCCATCAGCTGGCTTGCCCTCCTCACCGGGCTTCGGGCTGCGCGGGAAAAATCGCCGACGGAAGCGGCGTTTGTTGGGAGCGTAGCGGCTGCCTTTCACTGGAACACCGCCTGGACCGGTTACATTGGCTGCTTCTGAGCCCTGTGGGACACCAGAGAGGGGCTGGAATGGGACATGTAAAGAAAAAAACAAAAAACCCTAAACGCCATTCAATGAAATAGGTTGCCCAGATTCTCACCTTTGCAGCTTCAATCACATCAAACTCTACAACCTCCCCGTCGCCAACACTGCGGAGGAACTTCCTCGGATTGTTCTTCTTGATAGCAGTCTGAGGGGACAGATTTAACGTCTAAGGACACATCAACCCATGAAAAACACCAATTCAAGAAAAATGCCCATTAACTTACCTGATGAACAAACACGTCCTCTTTGGTGTCATTTCTGGGAGAAATAAAACCGGTTTAGCAAACATGGCTCATGGGGCAATTTTTAATAAGCAAATAAATCACAGTGGTGCAAGTAATGTAGATGCTCCAACCTTATGTAGAGGAAAAGTACCTGTTTATGAAGCCATATCCATTACGCACATTGAACCACTTCACTGTGCCTTGAACCAAGGTGGCTACAATAATAAAACAGGAGCACATGATTAAAATGTGAATCCCGGTGACATTTAACGAGACACACCATTAAACAGCCATTCAAAGAACACACTACAAATTAATGTTATCTTTCTTGCATCAATGGCAGCCCTGCTTAGAAGAAAAGGGAGCTCCGTGTGTCAATCATTAACAATAAGACTTTGAAACCAGGTCTGTGCTAGGTCACGAGGAGGGAGGGGTTAACAACACGGCTACGTGTTTCTCATCTGGTCATAGAAACAAAACCAGAACGAGGACTTGAAAGTCCCCTAAAGCGCGTTTAATTAGAACGTTAGCGCCTCAGCGAAATGATTTGCACCTGTGTGAACGCGCGTCCACGACCGGGTCGGAACGCGCCACGGCTGATAGGTCATGTGTTCACACTGTTAACAGCCACTTTAAATACAAATAATGCAGATTAATTTCCCCCTTTTCCTTCTTAGCGCAGAAGAACAAAAAGCCGCTAAAATAAACCAATGTGCGGACATGTTAAGGAGAAGTAGACGTGTTTCAGTGATTTATTTTGGGGAAAACTTTAAATTGAAACACTTTATTTTTCTGCCGGTAAAGGCCCTCAAGTTACTATTTGGTTTCACAGTAGAGGTTTTACTAAAGCGTAACAAATAGTTGCTTCCCACGAAACCCATGTTTAAAAACTGAAGACACGTATTGCTCCCATAAAACATTGTCGATTTACCTTAAGTGGTAGGCTACATTTCTGTAATTAGACTTGCAGACTCAAAAAACAAAAAAAAGTATATTTTTAATAATGCAACTTTACGCTACAACAATACCCTATGAATCAGTTTCTCACTCACTTCCATTTAAAACGCATATGAATTCAAACTAAAGCTGGTACTTTTAAAAATTCTTTAACCACTTGGCACGCACAGGTTTGCAGCATATTCACTCATCTACACCCACCTATGACTTTCCTCTCCGGCTGTGGCTTCTCTTCCACAGGTGCCGATGGTGGAGCGCTCTGCGCCTCGGCGTCGCTCATGCTGGCTGTCGGATTACTACACTTTCACTCCGGAGTCCCCTCCCTCCTGCTCTTGCCGAAACTTTTCTTCTTCTTCCTCTTCTTCTTCGTTGAGGTTCCGCGGCAGTTGGCATCCTTGGCGTTGCATTACTGCCTCCTTCTGGATGCAGACCTAATCCTCCTCAATGACGTAATTAATCCAGGAGCGCGCATACAAACCCGTCACTGTCTCCGCGCTTGTAATGTACTTCTTTTACTCTGGCCTCTTTTGACCTGCATTAAAATGCGTACTTAAAAGTATTGTCATTCTATTACCAGCTAAATTGATCACAAGTTAGTAATTGGCCACTGTGATTGTGATAAATTTAAGAATGTATGTATAGTAGCATACTGTTGTAGTTGTAACACTTTTAGATATATTGAGTGTAGTGCAGTGAGTCCTGCTCAGGTTGTCTGTTGCTCTGCACTGAAGAAATAGTTCATCCTAAAATGACACTTCCGTATTGGACTTGATTGCTGGATGAGCTGTCTGAAAAGGTCATATTTTGACTTGTTATTAGGCTCTGGGTGCAAAAGCTTGCTGTGGGTTTGGTGCACTTAGATAAAGTTATGATTAAAAAAAGCAATGACTAATTTGTCATTTTGGGGTCATGATAGCTTTGCCTTTAATTCCATTCTTCATAGGGCATAGGACTCCAGTTTCACAGCACTAAATTTAACCCAGCAGCACTAATAACTGCCAAGTTCAATGGAACCATTCTCTGTGCTCAGAAGCCGTGGGTCTCTCGACATGAAAAGACTCAAATTAGAAGTATAATTATTATCAGCAGAGGGAATTACAGCCAGCGGAGGCGCACAGCGGCACCGATACTGTGGATTATGTTATGTTCGATACTGTCATTCAATTTTTGTTCATTACAGCTCTATTGATCAGCTGTATATGTAAATGCCAATAAGTACCTGCTGACAGGAATGCTATGATATATAAAGGTAGATCATTTTACAGTGTGCCCATCACATCATTTGTACACAAGAGAGTACTGACAAGATGGCAAGAATACAATACAATGCAATGAGAACAAGACAATATAGCATCTACTTGAATGTATTCAGGGTCATGTTTCCTCACAAGCTTTTCCACGGCCCACTAGATTGCGTTCCGAGGTCCACCAGTGGGCCCCGACCCAGTGTTTGAGCACTAACTGTTCTAGAATCCATTGTAGACATTGTATTGCAGTTACATTGTGTCAAACACTCTGAAATACAATATAACATCTGTATTCCAGACTGCAATGTAACAAACGGACTGTGCCATTTATATGATGTCACCTACTGTCATAACTGTGCTAACTCATCCTCTGATGAAAACCACGAGATGCGGTTAAAAGGACAGGACTAGAAAAAGTCAGTAAGTGGACCTTGAGTTTGAGTGGACTATGTTTTTTTCTAATAATAATAATAACGTGGAAGGCTATCACATGACTACACAATAACATTGTAATGTGTTTGACTAATGATGGGGTTTTATTCTGGCAGTCCCAACAGGAAGTCGCGTGTCTCGATTATTTTGACATCGTGATAGTGGGTGAGGAGGAGCTGGATGAGGGAGAGACAGGGAAGGTGGAGTGCAGGCTGCAGACGGTGCACACTCAACCGGGGTCCACGTTAACGATTGTGTACCTCCTCACGAGGTGAACCGCGACCTGGAGTACAAACCAGTGGGGAGGGGGAGAGAAGAAGAAGAAGAAGAAGAGAGGAGAGCGGACGAGACGGGGGTGAGAGAGAGGAATAAAAGAAAGAGCTAAAAGGGGGAGAAACGAGCCACCGAGGAGGAGACAGACTCCCGGCTAGACGAGCGCGGACAGAGGGGAGCGAAGAGGAGGAGGAGGAGGAATTGAAAGGGATAAATAACACAAGAGGAGGAGAGTTATTATCACCAGGGTAAGTTCTCCTAACAACGCATCCAATGGACGGGGCGTGTGTGCGCCTGAGCAGACGAGTTATCCTCCTGCACGTGTGTGTCTGGAGCTGATACCTTTAAACGCCCCCGTGAAGTAAACACAACGCTCTTGTTTTTGCCGGGAGGACCACCAGCAGACCTCGAGAGCCTCATTCTGACTTGCTTGACAAAATGGAAAAAATACCAGATGACTCGTTTGCCTTTTATTTTTTGTTTCAACTTTGCGAAATGCTGCAAGACGTGCCTTGACGTCTCATGTAAAACAAGCACTATTGCTCTCTCTCTCTCTCTCTCTCTCTCTCTCTCTCTCTCACACACACACACGCTATTAGCTTAGTCATTATTGTACACATAGCGGGCCACAATTCAATCAATATCTCGCGCTACTGGAGATGTGGGCGCGCTGTGCTTTACATAATCAGGGTGGTTAATAGAGAGGTCTGCATTCATATCGCGACAGGCATTAAAGTGCATTTAAGGTTGTCGTTTTTTTTGCGTGTTGCACTTCAATCTCGTAATCAGAAGGGCCTCGGCCTGAGCGCGGTCATTGCGCGTGGATGCGTGTGGACACCGTTAACCGACGGCGGGCCGCGGCGCGCTCTGCACGCACCAGGCCGCCATGAGCCTTGTTTTTGCTTTGCAACACCGCGCAGGACCGTCCGGGGACATTACTCTGCCCAGAGAAGAGACTTCAATCTTCATGACGCTCCTGTGTTTTAATTTTATTTATTTACCGTTTTATGTTCCGTTTACAACACGAGAGGTGCTGAAATCAGTCACGCGCGGAGACGCCAGTTTGAAATGAGATATATGGGTCATTGGCGCGGCCCCATTCAGGTGTTACCCGTCAACAGCCACTAACCTCAGTTGTGCAGTAAAGCCCATAACTTCTGAATTATGTGTTTTTTTCAGGAAATATGTTCATTTGTTTGAATAATGTGAGTTAGTTGATGCACTTTTTTGTAGTCAGTGCCATTTAAAAAGTTTGGTTATCTTATAAAACATAGTTTGCCACACACACACACACACACACACACACACACACACACAGCTAAATACTAAACTCCATTGTAACTTTTAATTTGTTTTAATTCATTTTAGGAACACAACAGGTGTCATGTTTCTGTTGCTTTATTTAGCTCTGCCCAGTTCTCAGCATTGAATGAAAGTGTCACTTCCTCTGCACCCCCACGTTTAATTGGTATCACCCACCAACTCTCACATGTCCACCTAGTTCTGCTGAGATACTGGCAGATATTCACGAGGCAATACAAGTAAGCATCCGGTGCGTGGACCACAATGAAGTTGAGTCTGACCTGAGTAAATACTGATATCAGCTAAAGTATAAAGTACAATAAAATACTACAATTGTTAGACAATATTATCTATTTGGCTGTTCAATCAGTGTTAATCATATTTTAGTCTTGTTTACTTCTCCTTTAATCAGATATTTACTGTTTTACCAGGTTTTATGCAGTTTTTTTTTTTTTTTCTTGAGGCAAATTCCTCTGGTTGTTTGTGTTTAGACAAAATTTAAGGTTTTACAACTTTGGTGCCTTTTTCATATTGTAAATATGTTTTATTGCTTTGCACATTTTTTTTATCCCACCAGGGCAGAGGATACACAACATACATATATTTGAATTCATCTACAGATTCAAATTAATATCGTCATTCCCAACCCTACAACCTGACCCACCCACCTACCCATTGTAGGGTTACAGGCTACATAACATACACATTCAGATAAACTCACATAACATCAAATAACTGCATTAATCGGCTGACTGCGCCTGCTGTCGTTCTCCTGAATCAGTCATGAACATATATTAACGTCGGCCTCCACAGCAGGCATGGCCGATGCAGAGATTGACTTCCAGACGGGTGATGCCGGGGCCTCCGCCACCTACCCCATGCAGTGCTCTGGCCTGCGTAAAAACGGCTTCGTTGTGCTGAAAGGCCGACCCTGCAAGATCGTCGAGATGTCCACCTCCAAGACGGGCAAGCACGGCCACGCTAAGGTCAGTAAATGTAGGAGTGCTGGGACTAAACACAAGACCAGTCATTCATATTAATGGACACTTTCAGTCTGTACAATGTGTATTCCAAGTATTAAAAAGGTTGTAAAGCATTTGCTTTGACACATTGGAGATTGAATATTTTATGGATGCTGATTTTTTATGAAGTGGATGTTTTGTTTTGGGATACACTTCAGTTAGAAGGCAGAGTTTTCCTCCTTTCCGTGCGTTTTGTGCTGGCGCAGGTCCACATGGTTGGTATTGACATCTTCTCTGGTAAGAAGTATGAAGATATCTGTCCTTCCACCCACAACATGGACGTCCCCAACATCAAAAGAATGGATTACCAGGTGAGACAGCTGGAGGACTGAAGAGTGACTTGTTATCTAGTATATTGTAAAAAATAAAACAGTAATACCTGATTCTGTTCCATAGTAGTACGACTTCTTTCCTTGCACACTCCATGGAGAGTCTTTTTTTTGTTCCTGTAAAAAGTCAGATTATGTGACGTTACTTTTCTAAAAGCTCGGCAGAAAACGTGGGCCACCTCCTCTTAGTCGATGACAAATTGTGAGTTCCTGCTACGACGAATCGAAATGTCTCCTGTGAAAAACACGTGTAAAACTTTGCTAAACTTATGCAATATCAAGAAATAAAATGCTGATATGCCGCTTACTCTTTTCTGTTGTTTCCTATTGTTTGCCCTCTCACAGCTGATTGGGATCCAAGAGGGCTACCTGTCTCTGCTCCAGGACAGCGGGGAGGTGAGAGAGGACCTGAAGATTCCCGAGGGAGACCTGGGCAAAGAGATAGAGAGCAAGAACGAAGCCGGAGAGGAGATTCTGGTCAGTGCTGCTCTTTAACCTCTTCTTCAATTCAACTTTGACATCTTTGATCAAGTGAGGTAAGCATTAAAAAACAACTTCCACATCGTAAAGACCCTCATCTTTTTGCTCTTTCAGGTCACTGTTCTAAATGCAATGGATGAAGAAGCTGCGATTGGCATCAAAGCCTTGGGTAAATAAGCCACTGCAGGTAAATACAGAGCTCTCACCGCCTGACCCCAGCCAGCCTGAAGAGGAGTGTGTGTGTGTGTGTGTGTGTGTGTGTGTGTTACACCACAAGCCACCAGCATGTGCCATGCCAGTGCAAGTGTGTGTGATGTCGTGTAAATGCACAGTTTAATGTCGATCGTTGGACCGAGGGAAGGCAATTCCAGTCAACAAGATCCCAAAAATGCATATCCACTGTACTGGAAATAGCCATGTTTTCCATGTTATTGTATTATGACTGTTGTGTATATATACAGTGTATTTGTTTAAACTGGACATACTAGTGATCAGCTGAAAGATTTCCAATTGACGAGATGTTTCTGAGCAGTGTGCCACTGTGGTTTGCCCTCAACTGTCTCATGTTAAATCTATTATGAGCATGTGTCTCATTTTTTATCGAATATAAATGAAAGCTGACGTTTCACATTGTAATTTTTATGCGGCAAGCACTTCATTTTACAGCCTGATCTATTCTGTTGCTTCCTTTTAAAAGAAACAGCTTGTAGCATCGTTGTGTCTAACTTGTTTTATGCACTCACCTTCAAACTGTTGACTGTAGAAGTGTCCGCACACACATAATGTGTTCAAAACTGTCGGATGTGCAATGTTTCCTCTGCAGAGGCTAGTTAAGACACGGCCTCATTAAAATATATATTTTTCCTTCAACACCTTCCTTCTCAGACTATTCTTTCGTCTTTTTTCCTCATTCCTCCATCTTGTAATTCTGTTTCAGAGGCAAACGAGATGCACTGCACCTCGTCAATGCCATCTTTTCCCTTCTTTTTGTCTTTTCATACTCTCTCTCTCATTCTATTTTTTTTTTAAGAAATAAATTGGAAGTGTCAAAAAGTAAACAAACTATCGCTACGTACATCCACACATAATGAAACCACATGAGTCTGGATGAACAGATGTAGATGTAAATAGAGGAATATTCAGTAACCTGCCTTCCATCAGAGTAGTTGTTCACTTTATCGCCTGAAGCGTGTCCATTAAACAAAGGTCACCGACGTGGCACACCAGGGTTCAGTTTCTTTTTCTCTCCAGGTTTCGAAGCGTCAAAAGGGAAACAAACCCCTGCTTCAAGAACCAGGATCAAGTCATTCAAAATCCCCTCAGAGTGGGCGTTCACACCGGGCTGTTTGGAGAAAGTGAGCGGGATAGAATTTGGTGCTCCTGAACCTCGAGCAATGGTTCAGGAGGCGGATAACTTGTTACAGTTTGGTATCCGTTGTTTGTGTTCATACGGCAAATCCAAACTGTGCCGAGTGAAAAAGATGACACAAACTGTTGGGCTTGGCATTTTGTTATTTTATTTAGCGACATAAAAGCTTTGAAAACAGAGACTCAGACTTCATTAGGTCTGTAGAGGACAACGCCAAAAAATAATACTGGAAAGCCATAATTTTGGAAGAAACATAGCCATCTTGATTTCATTCGATATAACCAACTCTAATGGGTCCATTGAGATGAACCAGAATCCAGCAACACAGTGAAATGGACTCCTTAGGTTAAGTCAATGTGTTTCAGTAATAGCAGTGTTCATCAGTGTGCGTGTTACGTTAGAGGGAAAACATGTAGACTTAATCTACAAACTGGAAACCCTCCACTGATGGTGTAATTATGAATGCTAAACAAAGAATAAGTCTTTCTTTATACAAGTTATTGACATTTTAGCGCACATCGTCCTCCAGAACGTCTTTGCAGTGTCGGTAATATAACAATCTGTAGACAAAGGGAAACCTCTGGGCTTACTTCAGGCCAACTCGCAGCCAATGATGAAGGTTAAATGCCGTTTTTAAGTTTAGGACATATCAAAGTTAAAAAGTACAACGGGGGTCTTCCTCAGGGCACAGCTTGAAGGAGGAGTTCAAAGGCAAAAAAGGGCATTTTAACTTCTTCCCTGGCTCGGTGCGAGTGTGCCTGAAGTCAGCCCTGAGGCTTCCCTTTGACTTCAAGAGCACCTGGTATTTTCTCCTTATTATGTAAAAATCCATGTTGGATGTTTACAAAAACACACAAGCATGAGGACTGATAGTCACTTATTAACAAAGCCCAAAACGGTACTGTACATGGAATAAAACACAAATCAGAAGGCATAATCCAGCCAAATGACGTTATTTTGGAGAAGTCGATTACTCGTCCAAAAGGTTCTCCAGAACTGTGAGTGAAGCTCGGTGACGATGAAGAGGAGTTACTTTCCGTGGTGGTAGAACCTCTGGCCGCTCTGGCTGTGGGGGAGGAAGCCGTGGCGAGGAGCACTCTGGGGGGAGGTCTGAAACGGGGCCTGGTGGAGTCAAACATGGACCGACATGTTGAGTGAACATGACCAGAAACACGCGATGACAGCAAAGTAAGGTCGATATCAAGAGTAAGAAGTAAGTGGGTTGGAGGAGCAATTTTGCCAAAACTGGAGGGTGGAAAATGGTTTCGAAGCAAAAATTGAGGTAATGAAAGGGTTGTGAAAGTGCGTGTGTGTATTTTGGGCTTCACCTTTGCAGTAGAAATCTGGACGGCCAGCGATGGTGTGGGCAGCAGTCCCGGAGCAGAAGGGTGCATGGTTGGTGGATGCATCGGCCTCAAAGTGCCCTGTGAGAACATCAAGGAGACGGAACAAAAAGAAAAACTAATCAGATAAGGAAGTGATGACCTGAAGTGAAAGGACGGGTGAATGAAGCTTATGCTAGCTGCTTCCAACATTTAGACAGTAGAAAGTTAAGAAAGGTTTGGGCCAAAATCTCTTAGAATGTTTATGTTCTGTCTGATACTTACAAATTAGACGTAAAATTTTCATTTGTGGGACATTTTAATAAGCCATGTTTAAATACAATCACGCTTTTTACAATACATTATCCAATACTTTTTATTTTGGTATTTCATTTCTTACTGCATCGGTAAAGCCGGACTGTTGGTTGGCATGTTCCAGCTGCTTTTGGAGGGGTATCCCTGCTCCGGGAATGTATCCTGCAGGAGATACAGAAGTTTACAATCAAACAATCATTGACATCAAATACAGAGCACACATTCGGGTTATTTTACAATACGGCTGACTTTTTCCTGACGGTCCTAAATATTCATATAGCAATAAAACAGCAGTGGAACACAAGGACGATGACAGCAGAGGAACTGACCAGGCTGGGAGGTGAAGTGACTGTGGACGGGGTAGCCGGGCTGCTGGTGGGGGAGGTACTGCATGGCCTGGAAGGCAGACGCACCTGTGGGAGAACAAACGTTTCTTTGTCTTATAACCACTACAGCCACTGTGATGTGGTGCAAATGATTGATCATAGCATGCCAGAACAACTATGAAGGACTACTGAACTGAGGAATTTATATTAGTTTGACAAAACCTGAAGAACAATCTCTGCATGTAGACTGTATGTACTTCAGATGATGTGTGAACCCTGCCACTGAAACATACACATGTCCTTTACCTCTGATCTGAGAACTGCTTGCGAAACTGACGGGTACCGATGGTCCAGGGGCGTAGGTGGAGGGGTGCTGGGCCTGAGCCACCCCGTAGGACTCATGGACCCCCTGGCTACCGCTGAACTGGCCGTGCTCTGCCGAGCCCGAGCTGAACCCGGCGGTTTGATAGTGACGTGCCTAACAGAGGAGGAGGCGGGGCATACAGTCATATACTGGTGTCTAAATGAGCATCTCCTAAAGCACATGGACATGTAAGACTGTGAATATCAGACTGCTTTACTCACTGGAATCACAGCTGTTGGGAACAGCTGTTTACTACGTTCTCCAAGTAGCGCTCCAGGTCGACTGTGGCTGACTGGACTGCCTTAGAGAGTCAGAGAGAGGGATGAGTATTAGGAACAGACGAATACCCAGATGAGGTTAGGCTCCTCAATAATGAAACCTTCCTTACCTTGAATGCTGAGGAGGTGCTGCCCTGCGTGCATGGGCAAGCTGGGTTGGTAGCTCGCCGACGTCAATGTTGTGATATCACTAGAAAGAACAAAAATGCAACTGAATACCAAAAGTACAAAAAAATTAAAAATGTCTGGGTTTAACAACAAAATTCTATGATGCTGTTATGTTATGAAAGTAATGAAAACGCTGCGTCATCCTTACTACCTCTGCTCCTTTCTGCGCCTCTTCTCCTCTTCATGAAGTACCTTCTTGAGTTGTAAGAAGAGCTGGTGTTTCTCCTCTTGGAGGCCTTGGAGTTTTTCCCCCATCTTCATTACCTGGAGTTTAGTTTGGGGGGGTTGGGAATCACAGCATAAGAAAACTAATTGCTGCACAACTTGCAGTGTAGTATTTGTTACAACCCAAGGTAAGACGGCAAAGCCATATGGAGTTTAATACACAGATTGCAGTTGAAATGTTTTAAAAATGTTCCAACCTGTTCTTTGGTTTCCTCCAAAGACATCCTCTCCTCTATTTCTTTTGTCCGCTTCCTCTCTTCCTCCTCTTTCATCTTCTGCTCCATCATTTTGTCCACCTCTTCCTCCTCTGGAAAATTATATTCATGTTATTTAGCGGTGGTGGAAAACACATTCAAATCTCTAGAGTAAGAGTATTATTAGATGTCAAATGTACTTGTGAATACACTAGGTATGACAATATACTCAGTCTGCAGAGCCTTTTCACAGCGCGAGTAGATGAAGCTGCATATTTAGGAGAATAATAAGTAGGTGGTAGTAATTCTTTACTATATGGAGGGAAATAGGCTAAATAACAAACGGGAAATTTGGAAACATTCAGTTATTTTCTTATCATAGAGAAACGTAGTATTTGCAGTCAGCTTTGTACACTTCTACCTCTGCTAGGCTAGTTTTAAAACACACATAGTGAGTGCTCACCTTGTCTCTTGCGCTCTCTCTCCCTCATAATGTGCTTGTGGAGGGCTCTGGCCATCGCGTTGGACAGCTTGGGTCTCTCCAACAGGGCGGGCATGGTGACAGGCAGCGGCGGGGCCAGCTGTTGTAGACAGTGTTCAGTGGCACATGAAAGGTTAAAAGTAGAGGCGTCGATTATCTGCATGCTCAAAACATTAGAAATACCACAGGTGTAACTTAAGGGTTAAAGGCCTAACATTAAGTTAGCTGCTATTTGGCTAACAGTTAGCATTGTCAGCTTTAGCTGCTGTTAACCGACAGTGTGTTTAATTAAAATACATCAACGGGTGCGGTATGGTTTGAAACTAAGATGTGTGGAGCTTAAACATGCAAATCAGCAGCAACAGTTTTACATTTTAAAATGCCCAGGAGCAAACGTTAACTAGAGTTTGCTAGCTGACGTTAGCTTAGCACAAACGTTGACTGGTAACGTTATGCATTCTAGTTAAAGCTAACAGTTAACGTCACTCTATAGTGGCGTAGAGAGTGAGTACAAAAAAACTTACTTTTGTTGTTTTATGTGTCGTTTAATAAGGACCGAACCGTCTCGCGGTTTTTAACAAGAAAAATTCAAAACTTACACCCAAAATATAAACAGACGGAGAGGTTTACAGCCCCGGATGTAATGTTGCACTTCCGGGGTCAAAGACGACGACATGTCCGATTTTTTTCCTCACCGAATTGCATTTTGGGAAATATAGTATCTTCTGTATTTTGTTAGAAAACGCCGATCCCCGGTCTAAATACACAAATCTAAACTTCTTGTAACGCTTAGTGTGGGGACATATTGTGAAAGTAAATCTTATTTTGAAAATGTCCTCCATTTACATATTGTGACATGGGCTTTTTCAAAATCTTTATGTACAGAAGTATATTACTGACACGGGGGACAACATGCAAACTCCTCACAGAAGGGCCGCCCGGGGACCGAATCCGGGTCCCTCTTGTCGTGAGGCCAGTACACCACCGTGCAGCACCCGTATGGGACTTCTTCAATGGAGTCAATTGTTAATTCACTAGTATTAATTGCCTCCATTTTCACATACGCTTTGGACCAACAAAACGCCACTTTTTACACAGTTCTATTGGAAACTTACTTACAGCATCTATTTACATGCAACAGGCAACTTTATCTCCGCTAGTTAGACAAACCAGGAACACAACATGACATCATTGGGGCCTAATATTTGCTTACAACACTGTAGTGAGTAATAATATGTTCATTAATAGTTGACTGCACTTTAGCCATGAGCAAGACATACACAGGTGGGCGGGGCTTATAATTTAGGCCACACCCTATTTTTGTTCATCCGTCTCTGAACACGATAATATAGAGATGGGAAGGAGCTGATTGGCTGGCCTGAAATCCATGTTACCATGATGGCCAGGGGCAGCAAACATGTAGAAAACTTTTGTAATTTCTTAAAAGTAAAGCAATTTGAAGAGTGAAAGTATGTTTCAACAGTCATTTATAATGTATAATATTTGTTTATTTCTTTAATTTTGCTTTCCTTAAATTGATCAGTGGAGCAAACACGTTTGAAAACGCGCAACTTTTACTTTGAAGGCGAGCTGTCTCTGTTTACAGCTCTGGACTTCCTTTACTCAATTTTCATGATTAAAGTTGGTTAAAGTAACAAGCTGATGTTTTTGTGCGCTGAATTACATTGCACGTGTTTATTTCTTGTTTTACTTTGTTTGTATTGGCCTACATCCAATTCAACATTGGACAGTCACGATCCTGATTGAGAGATAACATTTGCTAGAGATGTATATGGAGAATTTTAATGCAGTATTATTGTGACGCACACAAAATATATGGTCACATTTTTGTTTATTTGATTAATATTTGAAAGAACGAATTTCTGTGATTTTGGTAATCATAATATAACTTCCCCAGAAGTGTATTTCTATGTATGACCAGTAGGTGGCAGTGCAGCGCTGTGGTTTCGACTCGCGACCCTGGACTTGTATGTGCGCGTGCAGCTTCTTCTCATAGCTCGAGGAGAGGTTGCATGAGAGAAGCCACCCGTTTGCCTGTTCATCGTTTCCTGGTTTTCTCAGGTTAGTGACTTGTAAAGTGCACTAAATATGACGTTTGAATTGGGGACCAATGTGCACTGAACGTTTTTATAGATTTTTTTGTGTTTCATGTAGTTGTTTAGTAGCGTGATTGTTGTTTTAAGACTGTCGAGTGCTAATGTCAGCTAAACTGATAGTAGCCTAGCAGTACATTCCCTAGTTTTTGTCTGGCTCCTACACATCGTATTATTTGTTCACAAAGAAGCCAATCAACTCTTTTTATTCTAGTAAGTCGTTTCACACTAAATATGTTTATTAAATGTGACTGAAAGATGTATATACGTGTTCATGTTAGTTAGCACGTGTTAGCGGTTCGCTATCCTGTTAGAGCAGCGCCGCCAGTTGTAATAGCGTCTTCATCACGTGCGCCTTCTTCACGTGCGCCACAGTAACTGTGAGCCCATTGGAAACCAGCTAGGAAGGTTTTATACCAAGCTACACCAAATATGTTGATTAAACACAGTAATGTGATAGTAGTGTAAACGTTGACCTGATTTATGATTGAAAATGTGTTAAATAAAATGGCTTGAGATGACGTTACATGAGAGAAGCCACACGTTTGCCTGCCTCGTCATTTCCTGTTTTACTCGGGCACACGTTTGTAATCAGGCTCTTTAGATCTGAGACCTGTAACATTGTTACACAACACAGTGTAGTTGTAAGCAGACTCTTTGGAGCTGGTTTTACAGGCATAATGACAGATTGATGATCCAGCTGTAGGATCCATCTTTTATTATCATAGTGCAGAAGAGAAGTTTATCACTTTTGTATTTGTGTTGGGGCAAGTAAATAAAGTGCATTTTTTTTTTTGTCATCACCGTGAAATAGTTACAGTTACAATAGTACAGAGACAATGAGTGTTTTTTTTTTTTTGTTTGTTTTTTAAAGAGTAATGTGACGGACTAAGCAACTAGTTAAGAAGAAAACATTTCACGTCCCTGGGTGGGCTTGAACCACCAACCTTTCGGTAAACAGCCGAGCGCGCTAACCAATTGAGACGGCCACAGAGACGGCTGAACAGCTGTGGGTGTGGCCTAAATGTGAAGCCACGCCCACACGTGCATGTCCTGCTGAAATTTAGAATATTTAGATCATGGCATCTTTGTTTCCAGTCCCTACTGGCCTCACGGCAAGAGGGACCCGGATTCGATCCCCGGTTTGCACGGCCCTTCTGTGAGGAGTTTGCATGTTGTCCCCCGTGTCAATGTGGGAGTTCTCCAGCATCCTCCCACAAGGACATTTTCAAAATTTCTGTTGTTCCCCTGTTTGTGAGTGACGTTAGCCAGTCTATCAACAACAGCACCCTGAAGGTGTTTCACAAGGCATTTGTGCCAACCTTCAGGCCACCTTCCATATACACTGGTATGTCTCGTTAATATCTGGCTACATAATTCTTTTGGTTTATTGTTTTTCAGTGTTCTAACTGAAGTTCAACAAGGCTACATTTGTATCATTCCCATTGCCAAAGCCATCCATAACATGATACAAGTCAGACTTTTCTAAATTAAAGGTTTGTATGTATAATGCTTTGACTACAGCTGTGTGTGTGTGTGTGTGTGTGTGTGTGTGTTTCTGCTCTTTTTCATAGGCGAGCTCATTGGTGTGGACTACCTTCTGAGTCACACTGGACAGCCCCTGCATGTGATCCCTGTCTCGCGCATACTCTCTACCCGGCCTTTATGGGCAGCTTGTCCAGATGTATCTTTGAGTGGGATGCAGGGGACCTCGCTCTGTTGCGGCAGGTAAAGCGCGAGCAGCTCAGGCAGGAAAGTGTGCCGGGCATTACTGATCGCATGGTGGACTCACGGATCGGCAAAAAGGAGCTGAGTCGGTACTGCCGTAGGACACGTGGCAAGGAGACCACCATCAAGCTGATTGAGCAGGTGCTGCAGACACTGGGGGGGCCAAATGGAAGAGACCTCATGGGGGTGCAACTGCTGGACGACGTAAGGATGGA